GAAGGGAATTTTTGATTCAATTTTAAATATTTTATTCTGGCAGTGAAGTTTCGATGACCCACTTACAGTTTACTGTGCCCCCTAATTTTTGGTCATTCATGTGTGGCCCCGTGGGGGGGGGGCACATGACCCACGTTGAGAACCACTGGTGTAAACTGTGAAAACCTACAGTATTTTGGAAAATTAGTTTTCAAACTATAATCAAGCTGAACTCAATACACTTTCATATAAACAGTATTAGTCATCCTGGTTTTCTGTGTTTCTGTTACAGATCATATATGACAACACAGTGAGTTGGTACGAGTCTCTCATCATGTTGATATTTTACGTCATCTACATTTTGTTATTGAAGTAAGTTTCGTGTGTTTGTATTGTTGTAAACTTATACATTTTATGTTGTATATAACTTGTTTAATTATACCTTTTAAAATACATTATAGCCTGTTATATTTTTTTACACTGTATTCTCTGGGGTTTTTTTTTATGTGTCCCAGCTAACCTGATGAGCTCTAGATTGAGCGAAACGCGTCGTCGAGAATGAATATGGCAAAGATAGTGTGGTTGGAAAACTATTATTATACACTCTTCTAATCGTTGAAAATCCCTAAGGAACTAGATAAAGAATGTAGTTTTAAAGATATAATAGGCATAATACTAATGTTTTATGACAAGTTTAATTAATCATAATCATGCTTCGTCAGCTTGAAAAAGGCGTACACATTATAACACCATTACTAGAAAGTTATAATCTGACATCAAGTTTTTTAGCACTTTTGAATGTATATTTAAAATACGACGGTCCATGAAGCATAAAGTTAGTTGAGCTTAAAGAAAGTTATTTCACAAGTAAGTGGATTGATTCTACGTTAGTCATAGTACTATCGTTAGAAAGATACAACGTCATATGTAAACTAATGCCTAACAAATTACGAAAGTTTAAAGTGGTTTAAGCTTGTAAAAACGTTTAAAGGATGAAATAAGCTGATTTAGTCTCATTAAGTGGACTAGACGTTGAATTATTTTTACTTGATGATTTAGAAGAACGTGCAAAAAAGGAATAACGTTACAAGCCGTTTCTATTTTCTAACTTTTGAGTCTCGCTGGTTATTTTTATGTTTTATCTTGCTCTTGTCTCTGTTTTTGTGTTCATATTTTGAATATAGAGTCGTCACACTGTAAGTGATAAGTCTTCATTTCGTTTTGAAACCAGCGCCACCATGTGAGTTACGGAGTCACTTATTTGCTGCAGTGAACTATGTAATCATTTCACCATTTTGAAATTATTGGTGAATAAAAAAACCTTACTTATTTAAATAATAAACATATAGTCGAGATATAAATGTGACTCCATTTTTGAAATTATACTTAAATGTGAGTATGTGTTTTCTTATAGCAAAGCCACATCGAACTATCTGCTGTGTTTACCGAGGGGAATCGTACCCCTGATTTTAGCGTTGTAAATCCGAAGACTTACCGCTGTCTATCTGCTGTGTTCACCGAGGGGAATCGTACCCCTGATTTTAGCGTTGTAAATCCGAAGACTTACCGCTGTCTATCTGCTGTGTTCACCGAGGGGAATCGTACCCCTGATTTTAGCGTTGTAAATCCGAAGACTTACCGCTGTCTATCTGCTGTGTTCACCGAGGGGAATCGTATCCCTGATTTTAGCGTTGTAAAATCCGAA